GGTTTGTACCTTTTTTTCTTCCTGGGTATCTTTTAAAAGTAAAATTGAAACAGTGTCTGTCTATAGCTCCTCTACCATAATTATTTGTACACTGATGGCAGCATATTCTTTGGTTGGCTCTTACTATGGTAATGCGTTGTATATTCTCCGTAAAGAACAGAAAGATAATTCAATATTTAATCTAGCCTGGCTGATCAAAACTTGAAAATATTTTCTTTCATCTTCTGCACTCATTATTAAATGGTCCAGACGTAACTTCTTGCCTGAGGGCAAGGCTTCAGAGAACTCTAGCCCTGGAGTTCTCTTACATCTAGGATGTAGGCTGAGAGCTGCCGCCGCAGAAGCTGGTTCCAATTGGCCAGGCTTCTCAGCTCCCAGTTTTCTGTCCCTACTGGGCTAGTCTTCAGGATGCGAGGGGGCCATGGAGACTGAGTCACAGTGGCTCTCAAAGCAACATCTCATTAGATTCTTCTCCTTGGAGTCAACTATACAGTCCAGAAGCCCGATGAGGTCTGCCAAAAGCAGGTGGTTTCTTGGGGCGAGGTGCATGTGTAGGTACTGCTGACAGTCCATGGGCCACATCCATGGCCACAGGACCAATGCGGCCAGCCTAGGCACCATTCTTTCCTTGGCTGCGTTATTCCCTGGTGAGGAGTTGGCCAGACGGATATGCCTATCTGGAGTCAGTGGCTTCTTAAACTTACTGCTTCTCTGGCTTGCAAAGCTGGGCTCCATCCTTCAGAGGGTAAGCCACAGTTGTGGTATATGCATCCGTATGCTTCAGAGAGGCTGAAGAATAGTGGTATTCATCAGGGATGGGATGAGGCGAGAGTGGGCCTTCCAGATTATTATGCAGCCGTATCTCCAAGTAAGACAGAAGTATGTATTTTGTTTAGCAGTTTGGTACTTGATTGTAATGTTTATGTACGTGTATGAATGGTATGAGGGCCTCCCTTTATACTCTTACCATGACTTCATAACTTTTGTGTGTGGACCTATTGGTCCCAACTACCTACTTTGCAAATATTGCCAATGATTTCTATTTTAACAGCCATGGAAAGCATTCCTAACAGTGAGTCAAATCTACCTTTCTGTGATTTCCATTATATTTAACTCTGCATTCTAGAGGCAGATAAGGCCCTCTCTCTGCCACATGACATCTCTGCTCATGTTCAGAGTTGGCCCTTGTGCCTTTCTCCCAGAGTTCTTCTTCTCAGGGTAAGCATTCCTAGTTCCTCAATCAAATCTCTTGTGACTGGGTATCACATCTCTTCACTATTACAGTCATCTTCTGGATGAATTCCAGATCATCCGTGTCACTTCTAAAATTTTCTCAGAAGTGAAAATCGTGCACAGTCTGGGGAGTACTGAGCAGGCTATTTTGCTTCCTTTATCAGGAAATCATCCTGGGTTCAATTACTGTTGATTTAAACTCTTGATGCCGGCAGATTTAGCTCCTGGTGAGGACCCTTTCTGGCATGCAGATGCCCTCACATGAAGGGGACAAACCTCTCTCTCCTTTTATAAGGACACTAAGCCCATCATGGCAACCATACTCTCATGACCTCATCTAACCCTAATTACCTCCCAAAAGGCTTATCTTGGATTACTACCACATTGGGGATTAGGGCTTTAACATAAACGTTTTGGAGGAACATGAGCACTCCTGTTTATAACACCAAATATCCCATGAACTTTCTGTATTACCCAGTCCTCTTGCATTAGGTAGGACTATGTGATTAGCTCTGGCCACTGGGTGTGTATTGTGAGTTGAATGGTATCTCCCTAAGATTCACATCCAGCTGAACCTCAGAATGTGACATTATTTGGCAATGGGGCCTTTTAAGACATAATTAGTTCAGATTCAGGTAAACCCTAAGTCCAATGACTGGTGTCCTTATTAGAAGAGGAAGAGATACACAGAGACAGAGAAGAAAATAATGTGAAGATGGAGGTAGAAATTGGAGTGATGCGTGCATAAGTCAAAGATCACCAAACATTGCCGAGAGCCACTGGAAGATAGAGAGAGGCAAGAAAATATTCTTTCCTACAGCCTTCAGAGGAGCATGTCCCGGCTGATGCCTTGGTTTCAGATTTCCAACCTCTAGCATGGTGAGACAATAAATTCCCATTATTTCAAGCCACGAAATTTGTGATCATCTGTTATAGCAGCCACAGAAATGACAAATGTCACCTTCTGGTCTGCAACATTCAACTGCCAGTGTGTGTTCTTTCTCCTTCCCTTCCTTTGCCTCAGCAAATATGGAGGCTTCCTTCTAAGATGGCAGAGAAGGACACAACGTAGATTCTTGAATCCTGGAATAGAGGACAGTGGTCCTGAAGAGTGTTTAACACCTGCAGTGGCATCTGGATGAGTCATACTTAAGTTTTTCTAATGTTAAGTGATTGACATTTTGTTTGTTGTAGCATAGCCTATTCTATCTTGACTATTGGTTTTATTTGAAAAAAATCGAATCGATTATACACTAGTCACTAATCTAGGTCTCAGAGAAGCCTCAAAAATTCACTATTCTTAATTTTTAATTCACCTGTTATTATTAATTCACTATCAAGTGAAGCTAAGTGCTCTTTTAAACTTGTAGTTCAGCAACCAGTACATGCTGTCATTAACGGAGTGAGTACAATGTGGCATGACACACATCAGGTGAGTCTAGGTCCAGTCTTTGAAAAGATGGTTTAGACTAACTTAACTGAAGGAGAAAGACAGATAGATAGATAAATAGATAAACTCACGAGTGAGGAGTACAGGAGGCTAAGGGGCATGCCTATCCAGAGCCTGGGATCTCCCACTTGGAGACCTCTCTCCAGGTATACAGAACTCTCTGTCCAAATGGTCCCAGTCCATCTTCCAGGGCCTGCATGGGCCTTTTCCCCAGGCCTGTGTTCCTGAAAGAAGACCTGCCTCTAGGCCCAAGGGATGGCCACAGGTTTTCTGCTTGGAGGGATACAGACAGAGCCTAGATAGGCAGGATGACTTGCCCACACACATGTGTTTATGGCTCATTACTGTCTTCTAAACTATTATAATCAATGTAACATGACAAACTATTTTATTTAACAGCCTCTTAGCTTTCTTTATAACTTTAAAATATTTAAAGTATGGAACACGGGTCCTCATTTCTTTTTCCAAAACCAGACTTGAGAATGTTAGGAGTAGAACTGCTTAGAAAGATTTCTTTTTTCCTCATAGAATCTGCTTTTCTTTGTTCTAGGTAAAGTTCCAGTGAAATTTCCATCATAAAGTTCACTGTTCGAGGTGGATATAAAACTCCTTCAAACCTGATCACTGGCTGACCTTTATTTTCTCACTGTTTTGAAAAAGCAAGGGTCTTAGAGTTTTTCAAATTGGTCTCTAGCTTGCACTTAACCTTTCATGTTTTCTTAGGTCCTTCCTGAAGTTTTTCTCTATCCAGGAAGTGTTGCAAATTAAGAGAGAAACCTAAAATCCTCTGCACTACCCCTCTCTTTTCTCTACTCCAACCTCAGAAATACATGCACACACTTGTACACAGCCACACAAAATTCCTGTAAAAACTGGAACTCCTGTTTTCACCGCTGAGGTTTTCTGGTGTTTCCTTCCTCCTTAACTGTTCCAGTGCATTTTCCACCCAAAACTGTTGACTTAAAAGAAATAGAAAAAACACCCTTAAGAAAAATAAAAAGGGAAGGGTTTTTGTCAGAACGTGAAAAACAAAATTCTAAAAATAGCTCATATTCTCCTATTTCCCTGTAGCTATGATGCAAGCATTACCAAGTTCAGGAACTGTTGGCTCCAGTATCATCATTTCTGGTCCTTGGCTCTTGTCTTTCTTCTTTCCCATCAATGTTTTCTCAAAGCCATGTTCTGGGGAGTGACTCTTGATTGCAACCTTGTAATCAAGCTCCCACACACAGACAAATTCTAGAGCTGTCCCCACTCCCTTTCCTTAAACTTGCAGTTATATTGTTTATGGCAATATATGCAGATTGAGAGCTTATTTGCTACAAATAGCTCTTTACATTTTCCTGGTATGGTGAAAGAGACTGAAGATGAAGATGGGACAGACGCATTCAGAAGCAAATCAAAATTTAGGAGCCGACTTCATAATATTGTTAAAATTGGGCACAACTCAGCAGGTTTTATGAAGCTTATGACGTTAAGATAATTCATCAGTCCATTAATTCATTCCATGAATCCTTCTACTTATTACTCTTATTCTAACAAAAAGGATTAAAGAGGCTACACTGTACTTACTGTGTTTCTATGACAAGAATTGTGTACACTTCTGGAAAACATTGTGACACAACTGTTCAACAACTTAAAACTCACTGGGGAAGGAAAACACGTATTTCAGAAACTGAAAATAACATAATACTTTATCAGGTGTTGTACTCCAAGTTTTATCTCATTGCCTCAACCCATATTTTATGTAATAACCAAGGTTGTCATTCCAAAATGAAAATCTCATGTCAAAAATCTGCTCGAAACCCATCAGTGGCTTGCTGTTATGTATTGGAAAATGTTGAAGTACCTTAGCATTGTGTATTTAGTGTTCATGACCCTGTCACCATCTACCTTTCTGGGCTCATCTCCAGTCACTCCCCTTCTCCCTCTGGTGTGAAGAATGGGAGCTTCCTGAAAGCCATGACTATGTCTTACTCACTTATGACTTCCCAGTATCATAGTGGAGGCGTAGCAAATACTGCATTTTTAGTGAACGTAGTCTATTTCACACATTAATCTCTTTCAAAACAAAAGTATTGTGAAACTCAACATATACAGAAAATTTAATAAAACAAATGAACAGCCTACTGAGATATTAAAAAGAATACTCTTGTGACTAACGCCTTATTAAAAAACGAGAACATTGTTGGTTCCTTGGAAGCCCTTTGTTTGCCTTTAACTAATTACATCTCCTTCTCTTACTGGCAGAGGTGAACATTCACCGCCCCTCTTTATCAGTTCTCAGGTCAGGACACATTCCCCCACCCCATCTTACCTCCATGATCTTTCCTTTGACCTCATATAGCCCTCGGGAGTCTCCTTTTCTCTCTTATCTTGGAAACACGTAGGTTCTTTAACTTTCATTTGGTATCTGAAAAAAAATTTTTTTATAAATGTAGATTAATGATATCCTTCTTGTCTTACTTATATTATTTTGCCTTCACTGTAAATATCTTTAGATAATAGATTTTTTTGATGTCTATACTCTGTATTCCTATAGTCCATTCTTTACTTTTATAGTTACGATTTCATTAGAGATGCTCAATGAATATTTATTGAATTCATTCACTCATTCATAATGAATGAGTGAATGCCAGTTACATCAAAGCGCAGAAGAGGTATAAATTTACTTAACCAGTGAAAGAGAAATAGTATAGTTTATGCAAATAGATAGACAGACAGACACACACACACACACACACACACACACACACACACACACACATACATGCACACAGAGGTGGGGAGAGAGAGAGAGAAATAGAGAAGCAGGACATTGTTTTGATGTCATGCACATGAATATTCAAGAGTTTCATGCACAAAAAAAATCACCATTTCCTTCATTCCCCATTCTCCTATTATTCAATTCCTCAAACCAAAGCAGGTGTTAGGAAATCCAGATATGCTTCAGATATAATCTTTGTTTTAACATCATTGTATATGATTAAAGAAGGCTTTTGAGAGCAAGCAGTACATGTTTTTCCTTAGCGTTTTACTTGAAAGGAACCACTGCAAGAACGGGGGCCAGTCTACAGGATGACCTCCTGACATGGATACTGTAGGAAAGATTCCATATTGTCAGGGAAATTAGAAGAGATGACACTGAAAACACTTTTCTACTCTACGATGGCAGGGGTAAACGAAAGACATCGGCAGTCTAAAAATAATAATTAAGTCTATAGTTTTACCTAGATATTAAGTTGACACAGAAAGCTTAGGTCTAGGACATGAGGTTGTAACTCAAACATCTCCTAGGTTTCAGCTAGTACATACAGCTAAAGTGTTAAGTCAACCTATACCTATCCCTTCAACTCTTGGATTGAATAACTGTTAAACATACAAACTTGAATTGTATTTCCTTGCTTTTCGTATGCCGTTCAATGATTCCCCACCCTACGCATACTTTTCTTGCAGAACATGGCTCAATTTTGGAGATTCAAATAAAATATATCCTCTCTATGAAGCTGATTTAATCCTTTATGAAAGTTAGGATTTTGGCTATTCTACTCCCACAATACTTTTTTTCTCAAACTACTGAACATATTCTATTTCCATTAGGTTTATTTATCTGCTTTATAGAATTATAATCTCCTTGACTTAAAGGATTGAGTTTTGTTTCACGTCAGACCTGTACTAGGTACTCAACATGTTTCTGAATGAGTAAAACATACAAGTTTTACAAGTAGTAAAATATGAGACAGAATCGCAAGTTATAAACACTCAGTACCAAAATGAATATCTTCTATTAATTAGGTGCTGAGAAAAAGCAACTGAAACACGGAATAAGAATCTAGGAGCTCACAGTCTAGTGAGGGAAACAGAAGTGTGTGAACACATGCAGCATGGTTAGAGGGAGGAAGCTGGACATAGGTAGGGGGATTTGAGAGCCCATAGGACTGGCCTCTGACTCAGACTGTGGAATAAAAGGCAAGTTCAAGTTGATTCATTAAGGACAGGTAGAAGTCGCTCAGGTGGCAAAAGGAAAGAGGTGGAGGGTAATCAAGGTGGTGGAAACAGAAGCACTGAAGTCCTCATGGAAGGCATATCTTAATAAAACTTGATCATAAAACTTTGTGTGGAAATTCCCAGTGGTGAGAACAAGCACAGAAATTTGCTTCTGCCAGGTGGAGCTGTGGCCCCAGAGCACCTGCTGAGTGCACTAGAGAGGAAAAGGGAAATGAGGGAAGAGCACAAAAGGATAGCTGGAGAGAGCATAAACACATGTTCACCTAGAAAGGTGAGTAGTTTATTTCCATCTGACTAAGAAAAAGAGAAGAAAATGCATCTCAGTCACAAGTTGACTCACATTGCACTTAGGTCTACAGAGAAAAGTAGCTGTTTCCTTATTTTCTATTATATGTCTGATCTTTCTTAAAATTTCTCCATACCTCCTTGGATGGGAAGGGCAGAGAGTGTTAGCTTCCTACTTCCTGCATCACAGGCTTTCTAGTTTGAATGTATATTCTGAATGACTCAGTTTCTTTTGGGCCAATTCTCTGAATTACAGATTTCCACTCCCCATTTCTCCTCTTGCCAACTACCCTTGCTCTTTTTCAGGTTGAATCTCATGTCAACAGAGAAGACAAATGATCAGACCTCATGTAGCATTTTCTGGAATCTCATTAGTTTCTTCTGAGCTCTTCTCAGGGCATCTAGTCAAATATGTTCCCTGGGCTGCTGACCATCAAGGTGTAGGTGGTTTCATTTGACCTTTTAGAGGACATGCAAGTGGCCATGATTATAATCCACAGTCTAGGGCATTTGCCAGATAGTTTACATGTGACAACCACTTTATTTGGACCCTAGATCTTAGCAAGCCTCCTGCTCCTATCAATACCTCAGTATGTACTCACATGATTGACTGCAATACACAACTTAGGGAAATAAGTAAAGATACTTTAGGATAATCTTTCTGAACATCCTCCCTCAGAATCTACAGGCATAGGTATCTGGATGTTTTCACTTGGTCTCTTCCCCTTGGGGTTCATCTTGATTGAAGTAAATAAAGACATAAAAAACTCTCCATAGCATTTAGTCAACTCCCTTTTATTTCTTATAATGTATCGGGGTAGAAGGAGCAGTTGTTCTTCTTTCTCAGCATAGACTTCCCTTACATCATAGCCTCCTTCTTCCTCCTTAATAGGGAAGGAGTATCATTTTCATATCATGGGACAAAAAAATAATTTGAGAAGAAACTCTAAATTATGAATTGGGATCTGGATCAAAGACGGCTGAATAGCAACAGCTTTGCAGTGCAGTTCCCAGTGAGAACGCAGAGGCAGCTGCACGTGATCTCCAGGCAAGCAGGGTCTGGAGTGGACCTCCAGTACTCCTACAGCAGAGGGGCCTAACTGTTAGAAGGAAAACTAAAATACAGAAAGAAATAACTTCATCATTAACAAAAAGGATGTCCACTCCGAGACCCCATCCGAAAGTCACCAACTACAAATATCACTGGTAGATAAATTCACCAAGATGGGAAGAAACCAGTTAAAAAGGATGAAAACACCCCAAACTAGAAGGCCTCTCCTCCTCCAAGGGATCACAACTCCTCACCAGCAAGGGAACAAGGTTGGATGGAGAATGAGTCTGATGAATTGCCAGAAACAGGCTTCAGAAAGTGGATAATAACAAACTTCTCTGAGCTAAAAGAACATGCTGTAACCCAATACAAAGAAACTAAAAACCTGGAAAAAAGGTTTGACAAAATGCTAATGAGAATAAACAGCTTAGAGAAGAATATAAATGAATTGATGGAGCTGAAAAATGCAACATGAGAACTTTGCGAAGCATACACAAGTTTCAATAGCCGAACTGACCAAGCAGAAGAAAGGATATCAGAGATTGAAGATAAACTCAATGAAATAAAATGAGAAGGCAAGATTAGAGAAAAAAGAGTAAAATGAAATGAACAAAGCCTCCAAGAAATATGGGATTATGTGAAAATACCTAATCTACGTGTGATAGGTGTACCTGAATGTGACGGAAAGAATGAATCAAAGCTGGAAAACATTCTTCAGGATATTACCCAGGAGAACTTCCCCAACCTAATAAGGCAGGCAATATTAAAGTCAAGGACATATAGAAAACATCACAAAGATATTCCTCAAGAAGAGCAACCCCAAGGCACATAATCGTCCATTTCACCAGGGTTGAAATGAAGAAAAATGCTAAGGGCATCCAGAGAAAGGTCGGGTTACCCACAAAGGGAAGCCCATGAGACTCACAGCGGATCTCTCAACAGAAACCCTGCAAGCAAGAAGAAAGTGGGAGCCAATATTCAACATCCTTAAAGAAAAGAACTTTCAACCTAGAACCTCATATCCAGCCAAACTAAACTTCATAAGCAAAGAAGAAATAAAATCCTTTATGAACAAGCAATTGCCTAGAGATTTTGTCACCACCAGGCCTGCCTAACAAGAGCTCCTGAAAGAGGCTCTACACATATAAAGGAACAAGCAGTACCAGCCACTCCAAAAGCATACCAAATGGTAATCAGCATCAACACAATGAAGAAACTGCATCAACTAATGGGCAAAACAACCAGCTAGAATCAAAATGGCAGTATCAAATTCACACATAACAATATTAACCTGAAATGTAAATGGTCTAAATGCCCCAGTCAAAAGACACAGACTGGCAAATTGGATAAAAAGTCAAAACCCGTCGGTGTGCTGTATCCAGGAAACACATCTCACATGCAAGGATACACAAAGGCTCAAAATAAAGGGATGGAGGAAGATTTACTAAGCAAATGGAGAGCAATAAAAAGCAGGAGTTGCAATTCTTGTCTCTGATAAAATAGACTTTAAATCAAGGGCAAGATTGCCCAAGAAGGGCATTACATAATGGTAAAAGGATCAATGCAACAAGAAGAGCTAACAATCCTAAATATATACGCACCCAATACAGGAGCACCCAGATACATAAGGCAAGTTCTTAATGACTTACAAAGAGACTTAGACTCCCAGACAATAATAGTAGGAGACTTTAACACCTCATTGTCAATATTAGACAGATCAACAAGACAGAAAATTAACAAGGAGACCCAGGACTTGAACTCAGACCTGGAACAAGCAAACCTAATAGACATTCACAGAACTCTTTACCCAAAATCCACAGAATACACATTCTTCTCAGCACCACATCTCACCTACTCCAAAATTGACCACATAATGGGAAGCAAATCACTCCTCAGCAAATGCAAAAGAATGGAAATCGTAACAAACAGTTTCTCAGACCACAGTGTAATCAAGTTAGAATGCAGAAACTAACTCAGAACTGCACAGCTTCATGGAAACTGAACAACTGGCTCTTGAATGTTGACTGGATAAACAATGAAATGAAGGCAGAAATAAAGATGTT